TCTCGAGTTTTAAAATCTAATTTTTTTTCGTTTCGGTTTTTATTTTCATTATTTTTTTCAATTATTAGATTTTTCAAAGTTCCGGTTTTATAATTTTTTGTTTTTCCAATTTTAAATTTTTCAGTTTCTCGTTTCTTCAATTTTTCCATTTAGGATTTTTCAGTTTCTTATTTGCCTTTATTTCTTCATTTTTACGATATGAAACTCTTCGACTGTTCATTTTTTCAATATTTTGGCTTTTGACAATTTTTTGATATGGCAATTTTTCTGATTCATTTTTTTTAATTTTTCGTTTATTCAATTTTTGATTTCCATTTTTTATAATTTTTCATTTTAAATATGAATAATAATAATACTAATTTTGAAAATACTTCACTTTTTCAATTTTACGGTTTTAGAATTTTTCCATTTTTCTGGATTTTAAAACATTTTCAATTTCTCGATTCCATTCGTTTTTTTTCCTTCCATTTTACGGATTCATTATATTTTTAGTTTTTAAATATTTCAATATATAGTTTTTAATTGTTTCGACTCTTCGTTTTTTCAGTTCTTCGTTTTACAATTTTTAGATTTTCCAGTTTTTCGTTTTTTAATTTTCCGATTTTTCAATTTCTCCATTAGTCAACTTTTGAATCAAAAAAATTAAAAAATGGCAAAAATCTTTGAAAAATCTAAAAACTAGAATGAAAAATTCAAAAATCGCAAGACTGAGAAACTGAAAAATCGAAAAAATTAAATGTGCATTGTAAAATCGAAATATTGTAAATTAAAGAAATTTAAAATCGGAAAATCGAAGAATTCAAAAATCATATTTAAAATTTGAAAAATTGAATAATCGAAAAATTATAAAATCGAAAGAAACATTGAAAACAGAGGAAATGAAAAAACTAAAAACTATGATGGGTATAAAATCGATGAAAATGATTTAAAAAATCGGTAAAATCAAAAATGAAAACCAGGAAACGAGAAATAAAAAAAATGGAAAATGTAAAAATGAGAAACTGAAAAATCGAAAAAAGAAAACTTGTAGAAAAATTGCAGAACTAAAAATACAAAATCGAAAAATTGTAAACGAAAAATTGAAAAATTAAACAAATTTAAACTGAAAAAACGAATAATTATGAAACCGAAACACTGAAAAATGAAAAAAATTTAAAAAATAGGGTAATTGAAAAAACCCAAAATTGCAAAATTGAAAAATTGAAAAATTGAAAACCGAAAAATTAAAAATTTCACACTGACAAAAGAAAAATTATTAAATCAGATCATTGAGAAAGCGAAAAATTCGAAAAATAAGGAAATAAAAAAGCCGAAATAAAAAATTGCAAATCCAAAACTTGAAAACATGAAAAATAATTAAACAATCGAAAAAAAAATCAAAAAATTTAAAAATTGAGAAACTTAAAAATCGAAAATAGTACAAAATTGAAAAAATGAAAAAAGAAAACGGAAAATCGGATCACTGGAAATCCAAAAATTGAAAAATTAAACAAATTAAAGTTGAAAAAACGAATAATTTGAAGCCGAAACATTGAAAAATGAAAGACTTTAAAAAATAGGATAATTCAGAAATCCCAAAATTGCAAAACTGAAAAATCAAAGATTGAAAATTTGAAAAAATGAATAAACGCAAAATTACAAAATCAAAAGAAAAATTAAAAATCGGCAAAATGAAAAACAAAAATTAGAAACTTGAAAAATTGGGGAAACGAAAAAATGAAAATTCGAAAAATTAAAAAATTGCAAATCGAAAAGTTGAAAACGAAAAATTGAGAAATCATGACACTGAAAATCTAAAATTGAAAATCGAAAAATTGAAAAATTCATAAATTGAAAAATTTGACATTGAAAAAAGAAAAATTGTAAAGTCAGAACATTGAGAAACCGAAAAATTGGAAAAATAAAAGAACTAAAAAACCGAAACGAAAAATAGCAAATCCAAAACTTGAAAAATAATTAAACATTACATTACAATTGAAAACTCGAAAAATTGAAAACTCGTGAAATTGAAAATCTAAAAAGTGAAATATCCAAAAGTGTGAAGATTGAAAAACTGAACAATTTAAAAATGAAAACTCGAAGAGATGCATATCGTACAAAAAAGTTGAAGAATAGAGAAACTGAAAATACAAAAAACTAAAAAATCGAAACACTGAAAATTCGAATAATTGAAAAAATGAAGAAAATAGAAAATCGAAACGAAAAAGCAAAAATCGAAAACTCGAGAAACAAAAAATGAAAAATTGAAGAACTGAAACAAAAATCGTAAACAATTTTTATTATTTTTCAAATACACTTCAGGGGACTGAAATTCTGTGGAAATGACTTGACCAATTTTTCATAAAAACTGCAGACTTTTTAAAAATCGAAGATCCAACGACCTTAAACCTACCGGAGGTTTCAGCATCACACCACCTTTTCGGCAAATTCCTGAAAATAACTTCCACGTCCCGTCGTGAAAAACCTCGAAAAGTCCGTCGCGAGTAATCAAAGCAACTACTCTGAACTTTTCTCTCCGGCTTAATTTCCATGCCGCCCCTCGGAGTGCCCCCGTCTCATTTGTAGCCGTTGATTAGAGCCAACAGCAGCATCAATTCGAGTGTCGTCTTCATTACGCTCGCCCATTCGGTCGATTCCATAGTTCAATTTCCTGGAGGCTTGAGCAACGAACGTGCGCCGCCAGCAGGGACACCCTTGACCATTCCGATCACGTTTTCCATCAAAACCGACGTTTAGCCTTACCTGAAAGTGTTTTGTTCGGCGCTCGCAAATATAAAACGCGAATGCAATCGGCGTTCATTAATTTATCGCGCAGTGGCGTGCGGACGGGGCGGCAATCAGCAGCGGGCGCGAGCCTGATTAAAACATTCCCAGCGGGACGCGCGGGATTTCTGCCAATCAGAGAAGTACGGCCGAGGCGGGATCATAATCAAGATAGGCGGCGGCCGGAACATCCGGAAACTTGGAACTTTAACTAGACGAGACTTATTCAGAAGCCGCTCGTTTCATTAGGGAAATTGAATTAGGTGCGAATTAAGTAATGGATTAAGAGGGGGGGCAAAAATGCGATCGAGAACGACCTCGACGCCCGTTAAAGTCTGTCGCATAATGACATCGTGCATCCACTTCAACAAAAAACAAAGTTGCTGTTTTATTATCGAAAAGCAATTAAATTGCTCGTCCGTGCGAGGCAATTAGCTCCCGTAATAAACGATAACTATATCGTTACAAATTTACGTGAGTTCTGTGCTAATTACGAATTACTCTGGCACAAAGTAGACGCCATAAATTATGGAGTTTTTACCTAGCGGCACACATCCCTGCAATTTCTCTGGGCGAATTTATTATTTATCCTGGTGTGTAGTCGAAATTAATTCAATCTTGAAAATAAACACGGTCGTGTTTTGAAACCTTCTTGGCATACGCGCTAAATACGTTAATTAAACGTAACGCCGCAAATTGTTTTGCCGGATTAATCCGGGGGTGTGAGCGAGAATGGGCAGGTAATAAATAAATAACGGAAAAACGATACGCGTTTAATTGTGTAACGCGCCGAATGGATTAATTAGCGATTAAATGCAACGCTGCATATAATTGTGCAATTAAAACGGCTGACTTTTACGCCGCCGGGGATTTTCAGGGGATTTGGACTATCCTTAACCCACAAAATCGGACTACAAATAAGTATGACACGATTTTTTATTTGGCCTGAGGGTGAAAGCGTGGCGTTCAGAAACGTCTAGCCAAATCAAACACAACATTATTAACTTATTTCATAATCTGCGACAGTTGGACTGGAGTCTCTTGAGTGTTAGAAAACGAAACCGTTCAGAGTTGGCTGCAAACATTTTACTACATTTCCAGTTAATAATAATAATCTAGGCGACTGTATATTTCACACAACAAACAAAAACAACCCATTAAAATAACTTATCAAAAACCATAACTAATAATGTTATCTTAATGACACCCAGTCGTGGTGCATTTAACGCTCATATTATTGTAATTTGCAGTCGTTTAAAATGCAAATTGGCGCAAAGGGTACATTTTTTTAAAATTCTATGGATTTCAGAACTACCAGTCGAAGTAATACATTAAAATAAACGACGCATAAATGCGATAACGCTACAATTTCCACTTATAACGCCAATGTGTTTTGTTTATTTACATGTGCCACTTCGGATTTTTTATAACAAAAACACGTCGTTATTCAAATTGCGCTTTAAAGTAAATACGTCGGTGGAAAAATGTCTGACAAGTTTGTTTTTTCTGGGAACAAATTGGTGTAAGAGTCGTTATAAATCATATAAAACGAACAAGAAGCCCCACTTTCTGCTGATTGAACTGTTTATGGACACCGTTTTTTTAAAGCGAAGTGAGGCAAGGGTCTGTGCTAAGTCCGGCGCTATTTCAAGTCTACAGGAGTGATTTAGCGACCTTAAAATACACGTTGTCATCACAGCCCGTCACATTTTTTTAACACAGGTAAGTCTTCCTATTATATACTTATTATTATTGGTTTTTAATCTTGATCGAGATTTTTGTGAAAAAATTTGTCGCTTATTTCACGTTGTTGTTACGTGCCGAATATCGATGATGAGTGCGATATTAACACTAATAAATATTGTTGATTTAACAGTCTAATTTTTGTGTGAACTCGTCGTCAATAAAACGCGAATAAAAACTTTACGGTGACGTGGACGAGTAGTTTTAGTAACAATCGCATTTATTTAAAAACCGTGTAAAACTTATTTACCTAATTTCGTCTTCCGTTTTATCTTTTAAGCCGTACAACATTACAATGTTTACACAGTTTGACAGATCACTTTCAGAGAACTTCTACCCCGCTGACACACTTTGGAATTTGTTTAACCCGGCCCGACCCTGCAGCGAAAAACCCTCCCAAAAACGCAACGCAGCCAAACAATTTCATATTTATACCCCAATCCAGCGACCGCATTAATTTTTCCCGGACTCGCCCCAAGAAAGCCAAAACTTGCCTGATTCAGCCCGACAGCCTCCTCACAGCGCAAACACCACTGAAAATTCACCAAAACCTCCAAGAACCACCACAGTGCTGAGCACGTTGCTTAGTCAAGCTTCTGGCTTGCACGACACCCGACCACGGCCACGTCTCAGGACAAACTGAGCGTGTTTGCGACCAGATTGCGATGAGTTTTTGTGGGTTTTGCGTCGACTCTTTGCGTCGCGACGCCGCCGTTACTCTTGAGCGATACAGGTAGCTGATATAATTTAATTAGGCCGTGTGTTTCTCCGTTTAATTTCGATGCGGTTTCGCGTATTGGCGGGGGGATTGGCGACGGGGAGGGGGGGATGTGGATGGGGAGGGGGTGTGGTTGACCCGGGTTAGTTCACTGTTGTTTTTTTTTAAAAAGCTTTTTTGATGTGGCAGCTTTCAGTCATTATTTGGACACAGAAAAAGTCGGGTGACGTCATAGCCAGATCCGAGCGATTCGGGATGCGCGACTAGCTTGATTAAAAATGGGTTTTTGTTCATATTTCAAGCATTCAAGCTTGTAACATTTCTGACGATATGATAATTATATTGGATGGAGGAGATAATACACAATTTTGGATTTGCAATTTTTCGTTTCGGTTTTTTCTTTTCTTAGTTTTCTCAATTTTTTGGTTTTTTAATGTTCTGATTTTAGAATTTTTCTTTTTTCAATGTGAAATTTTTCAATTTTCCGGTCTTTAATTTTTCTTTTCTTCAATTAATGATTTGCAATTTTTCTAGTTTTAATATGTAATGAGTTTCAATTTTTCGCTTTTACAACTTTTCCATTTTTCAGTTCTTGGATTTTAAAACTTTATTCGATTTTTCAGTTTCTCTATATTTAATTTTCCAATTTTTCGATGTTTGAATGTTACAGGTTTTTGACTTTCAATTTGTACAATTTTTAAGTTTTCAAATTTTCGATTCGGTTCGTTTTTTCTTTTTTCAAATTTTTTGGTACGTTAATTTTTTGTATTTACAAGTTTCTTGATTTTTAATTTTACAATATTTCAGTTTTTTGTTTCTTCAGTTTTTCGATTTTCTCATTTTTTCCGATTTTTCAACATTTCGAACGAAAAAAATGGAAAAATTTCTAGTTTTTTAATTTTTTTTTTCAATTTTTGATTTACAATGTGCAATAAAAACAACAATTTTTGAAATATTTCACTTTTTCAATTTTACGATTTCAAAATTTTTCTATTTTTGAATTATTGGAAACTTTTTCACCTATCTTTGAATGTCGCATTTTTCGACTTTAAAATTTTGACGATTCTTTGATTTTTCGATTCGATTCGTTTTTTTCTTTCCATTTTTCAGATAAATATAAAATGAAAATTTTGAAAAACCTAAAAATTGGAAATCAGACTACAAAGTTTGAAAAAACCAAAAAATTCAAAAATCGGAAGAATAAAAATTGAGAAACTTAAAAATCGTAAAAACGAAATATGCATTGTGAAATTGAAATATTTAAAATGAAAGACATCGGAAAATCGGATAATTGGAAATCCAAAAACTGAAGAAATTAACAATTGGAGAATCGAGGAATTCAAAACTCAGATATTTAAAATTTGAAAAATTGAATACCTAAAATTATAAAATCGAAATTGAGAATATGTATAAAGCAAAGGAAAATACGAAAAACTGTGATAGGCATAAAATCGAAAAAATGGAAAATAAAAACCTTGGTTGGAAAATTTTCAATTTTCTTTTTTTTTTGTGTTTAAATTTTTCGGTTTTTCAATTTTAATTCCCCAATTCTTCAATTTTTCGATATTTTAAGTTTTACGTTATTTGCTTTCTTAATTTTCCAACTTTTCGATTTTTTTTCTTTTAATTTAATTCAGTATCAAAATTTAAAATTTGGAAATTAATGTTAAAGTTTTCGAATCCACATTTTAACGCGTTGTTGACTTTGATATTAATATTCTTATTAAAAATTCCAAATACAAGATTAAACTCAAGCTCCGAAACGCAAAAAAAATCAAAATGTTTTCGATTTTTCGATTTTTCGTTTCGATTTTATATTTTCTTTATTTTTTCAATTATTTGGTTAATTTTTAGTTTTTGGTTTTTTAATTTTAATTTTTTCAGTTTTTTGTAATGTAATGTTTAATTATTTTTCATGTTTTCAGGTTTTGGATTTGCAATTTTTCGTTCCGGTTTTTTCTTTTCTTAGTTTTCTCAATTTTTTGGTTTTTCAATGTTCTGATTTTAGAATATTTCTTTTTTTAATGTGAAATTTTTCAATTTTTCTAGTTTTAATATGTAATAATAATTATAGTTTTAAACAAATTTCTGAGTTTCAGTTTTTCGGTTTTACAACTTTTCAGTGTTACAGGTTTTTGACTTTACAATTTTGACGATTCTATAATTTTTCAATTTGTACACTTTTTTGTTTTTCGAATTTTTCTGTTCGGAACAGAATTAAAAAATCAAAAATGAAAATACCAAAAAGTATAAAATGAAAACTTTGAAAAATCCAAAAATTGGAAATCACCAACTCGAAAAATTGAAGGAACGAAAAATTCAAAAATCGAAAGAATACAAATTGTGAAACTCGATATTCGAAAATGTTCAAAAACGAAAAAAATAAATATGTAATGTAAAATCGAAACATTGAAAATTAAAGAAACCGGAAAATCCGATAACTGAAAATTAAAAAATTGCAAAATTGAAAAATTTATAAATTTGAAAATCGAAAAATTATAAAATCGAAAGAAAAATTGAAAAAATAACGTAAATGAAAAAACGAAAAAATGTAATATCTAGAAAATAATTTTTCGATTTAGCTATTTTTTGGTTTTCAATTTTCCGAAATTCCGGTATCCAGTTTTTAATTTTTCTTTTTTTCAATTTTTGACTTGCAGTTTTTATGGTATTTGATTTAAAATGTGCAATAAGAATAACAATTTTTGAAATATTTCACTTTTTCAATTTTACGATTTCAAAATTTTTCTATTTTTGAATTATTGAAAACTTTTTCACTTATCTTTGAATGTCACATACAAAATTTTGATGATTCTTTAATTTTTCGATTCGATTGGTTTTTTTCTTTCCATTTTTCAGATAAATATAAAATGAAAATTTTGAAAAACCTAAAAATTGGTAATCAGACTGCAAAATTTGAAAAAACGAAAAATTCAAAAGTCGGAAGAATAAAAATTGAGAAACTTAAAAATCGAAAAAACGAAATATGTATTGTGAAATTGAAATATTAAAAATTAAAGACATCGGAAAATCGGATAATTGGAAATCCAAAAACTGAAGAAATTAACAAATGGAGAATCGAGGAATTCAAAAATCAGATATTTAAAATTTGAAAAATTGAATACCTAAAATTATAAAATCGACATTGAAAATATGTACAAAGGAAAGGAAAATACGAAAAACTGTGATAGGTATAAAATCGAAAAAATGGAAATTAAAAAAACCAAGATAAAGAAAAATAAAAACCTTGGTTGGAAAATTTTTCAATTTTCTTTTTTTTGTGTTTAACTTTTTCGGTTTTTCAATTTTAATTCCCCAATTCTTCAATTTTTCGATATTTTAAGTTTTACGTTATTCGCTTTCTTAATTTTCCAACTTTTCGATGTTTCTTCTTTGAATTTAATTCGGTATCAAAATTCAAAATTTGGAAATTAATGTTAAAGTTTTCAAATCCACATTTTAACGCGTTGTTGACGTCAGTGACTTTAATGTCGCTTAAAACTTCACCTTTCTTTTGGAGTTTTCAGATTTACCAACTTTCCAAATTTAAACCAGCAAACTTTGATATTAATACTCTTATATAAAATTCCAAATACAAATTAAACTCAAGCCCCGAAACGCAAAAAAACTCAAAATGTTTTCGATTTTTCGATTTTTCATTTCGATTTTTTATTTTCTTTATTTTTTCAATTATTTAGTCAATTTTTAGTTTTTGGTTTATCAATTTTAATTTTTTCAGTTTTTTGTAATGTAATGTTTAATTATTTTTCATGTTTTCAGATTTTGGATTTGCAATTTTTCGTTCCGGTTTTTTCTTTTCTTAGTTTTCTCAATTTTTTGGTTTTTCTATGATCTGATTTTAGAATTTTTCTTTTTTCAATGTCAAATTTTTCAATTTTTCTAGTGTTAATATGTTATGATAATTATAGTTTTAAACAAATTTCTGAGTTTCAGTTTTTCGGTTTTACAACTTTTCAGTGTTACAGGTTTTTGACTTTACAATTTTGACGATTCTATAATTTTTCAATTTGTACACTTTTTTGTTTTTCAAATTTTTCTATTCGAAACAGAATTAAAAAATCAAAAATGAAAAAACGGAAAAGTATAAAATGAAAACTTGAAGGAACAAAAAATTCAAAAATCGAAAGAATACAAATTGAGAAATAAATATGTAATGTAAAATCGAAACATTGAAAATTAAAGAAATCGGAAAATCCAATAACTGAAAATTAAAAAATTGCAAAATTGAAAAATTTATAAATTGGAAAATCGAGGAATTGAAAATCCTTCGATCGAAAATTTGAAAAACTGAAGAATCGAAAAATTATAAAATCGAAAGAAAAATTGAAAAAATATCGTAAATGAAAAAACGAAAAAATGTAATATCCAGAAAATAATTTTTCGATTTAGCTATTTTTTGGTTTTCAATTTTTCGAAATTCCGGTTTCTAGTTTTTTAATGTTTCTTTTTTTCAATTTTTGATTTGCAGTTTTTATGGTATTTGATTTAAAATGTGCAATAAGAATAATAATTTTTGAAATATTTCACTTTTTCAATTTTACGATTTCAAAATTTTTCTATTTTTGAATGATCTTTGAATGTCCGATTTTTCGACTTTAAAATTTTGACGATTCTTTAATTTTTCGATTCGATTCCTTTTTCTTTCTTTCCATTTTCAGATAAATATAAAATGAAAATTTTGAAAAACCTAAAAATTGGAAATCAGACTAGAAAGTTTGAAAAAACGGAAAATTGAAAAATTGGAAGAATAAAAATTGAGAAACTTAAAAATCGAAAAAACGAAATATGCATTGTGAAATTGAAATATTAAAAATTAAAGACATCGGAAAATCGGATAATTGGAAATCCAAAAACTGAAGAAATTAACAATTGGAGAATCGAGGAATTCAAAAATCAGATATTTAAAATTTGAAAAATTGAATACCTAAAATTATAAAATCGAAATTGAAAATATGTATAAAGGA